CCTAGGCAGCTGTCTAGTTTGCCTAGTGAAAGCAGTGGCCCTGGGTAGAATCTTAATCAGAAGTCCAAGCAATGGTCAGTAATGGAAAGAGCAGCAAACATATTCAGATAAGGGTAATCCGAAGCAGGTGAAGTGGAAGGTCAGTACTCAGAAATGGTCCTGTGCAGAGCTCAGATTTAAATATAATAACACCTGAGCAGGGGCGGACTGAAAACTCATGGGGCCCCCGGCAATAGGGGATCATGGGGCCCCTGTGTCCTCACCCACACTCAAATCACACCCAAAAAAGCCTATGAAAGGTATTAGGGAAATCTCATAGGGCCCCCTACTGACCCTGGGCCCTCGGGCAGTGCCCGAATTCCCCAATGGTCAGTCCGCCCCTGCACCTGAACATATGTGGTGATGTGTACTTGCTGTAAACATGTGCTCGGTTATGGGCAAGTGTATTAGCCTGGTGGCTGCCATGATGTTCCTGGCAAGGAGGCAGAAGACGTAGGAGCTGAAAATGCAACGCTGAAACATAAAATGATCTACACTTGTTATGCCTTGAAGCTTAGCAAAGATGTGATTGGCTAAACAAAATAAAAATCCATAGGCAGGTAAAACATTTCCCAAACGTACATTTTTTAAATATTTTATTTAGCAGTTACCTTAAAGTTTTGTCTTACTTTGTCAAACACAATTCTGTTTTCTCAGCTAGCCCTTTGTGCCCTCACTCTGTACCTCCATCTTATACAAATATATATTCATCTGCCAAAAGGACCAGACTTCAGCTGTTTGCCCCCCAGGCAACTTTTATTGTTCCACATTTTGCTAAGGGTCACAATTGTAAATTTACTAATATTTGTTTTCCTGAACACTTGTATAAGAAAAATAAATCGTGCTGGTCTAGGACCTGGCCCATGTCGTGCCGTCTTTCCACAAAATAGATCCTGTCTACCAGCTTTGTGATCTCATTACATACTCTCTTACTTGTTGGTTGGCTTTTGGAAGAATATAATTGTTATAATCCATTTGAAACTTATATTTTTTTTTATAAATCATGATATTCATTTCCATTTCTGAAAATGTATAAAAAACAAGGGGAATAAAAAAAATTTTTGTACATTTTAAAAGAAAACTACTCTTGATTATAATAAAAGTTCTTTAAAAAGATCTTTTCAGCTCCGGAAAAGGTTTTATCCCCTTCATGAACAAATCATTTTTTACTATTTAGCACTACACTACTTTAACTGGCAATTGCGCAGTCATGCAATGCTGTATTTTAAACAAATAGAGCTTTCTTTTGGTGGTATATGACCAACAATGGGTTTTTATTTTTTATAATATAAACCAAAAAACGACAGACATTTTTGAAAAAAAAAATGTTTACTTTCTGCTATAAAACATATCCAATAAAAAATGCTAAAAATAAAATGTCTTCATAAATGTAGGCCAAAACGTATTCTGTTACATGCCTTTGGTTAAAAATCCCATACCTGTTTATTTATTGGTTTGCATAAAAGCTAGAGTGTCTACAAACTGTGAAATATATACCAGAATTTGTTTTGTTTCTTTTTACTAGTAATGGCAGTGATCTGCGACTTATAGTGGGACTGTGATAGACAATCTGACACTAACTGACACTGGGTGGGAATTGACTAACTGACACTGACATCACCAGTGACACTAATACAGTGATCAGTATTTTTTTTTTTAATATAAAACAAAAAAAGACAGAATTTTTGGGGGAAAAAAATGTTTTACTTTCTGCTATAAAACATATCCAATAAAAAAATTTTAAAAATAAAATTTCTTCATAAATGTAGGCCAAAACGTATTCTGCTACATGCCTTTGGTTAAAAATCTGTGATAGACAATCTGACACTATCTGACACTGGGTGGGAACTGACTAACTGACACTGACATCACCAGTGACCCTAATACAGTGATCAGTGATTTTTATAATATAAACCAAAAAAAAGACAGACAGACATTTTTTAAAAATCCAATAAAAAATGTTAAAAATTTTTTTTTTGTACTTTCTGCTATAAAACATATCCAATAAAAAATGCAGTAAAACGTATAAGATGTCTTCTGACACTAAACACTGTAGGCCAAAACGTATTCTGCTACATGATTTTTTTTTTTACTTTCTGCTATAAAACATATCCAATTTGGTTAAAAAAAACGTCCCAAAAATGTTTATTTATTGGTTTGCATGAAAGCTAGAGTGTCTACAAACTATGGAATATATACCAGAATTTGTTTTGTTTCTTTTTACTACTAATGGCAGTGATCTGCGACTTATAGTGGGACTGTGATAGACAATCTGACACTAACTGACACTGGGTGGGAACTGACTAACTGACACTGACATCACCAGTGACACTAATACAGTGATCAGTGATTTTTTTTATAATATAAACCAAAAAAAAGACAGACATTTTTGAAAAAAATTTTTTTTTTTTTTTCTGCTATAAAACATATCCAATAAAAAATGTTAAAAATAAAATTTCTTCATAAATGTAGGCCAAAACTTATTCTGCTACATGTCTTTGGTTAAAAATCCCAATAAATGTTTATTTATTGGTTTGCATGAAAACTAGAATGTCTACATACTATGGAATATATACCGGAATTTTTTTTTTTTTACTACTAATGGCAGTGATCAGCGACTTATAGTGGGACTGTGATAGATAATCTGACACTAACTGACACTGGGTGGGAACTGACTAACCGACACTGACATCACCAGTGCACTAATAAAGTGATCAGTGGTATAAACAATAAACAAAAAAAAAATAGCATATTGAAAAAATATCACCAAAAGCAAGTCCTATCTGTCTCAAAAAAAGTGATGAAAATATAGATTTTGTTTGCATGACCGCACAAATGCCATTCTAAGTGCGACAGCACTGAAAGCTGGATACTGGCCTGGGCAGGAAGGGGATGAAAGTGCCCAGTAGGCAAGTGGTTAATATACATTTGGGATTTTTTTTTCATTAAAGACATGTAGCAGAATATATTTTGGACATAGTTTATAAAAAAAAATGATTGTGTATGTTTTATAACAGAAAATGGAAAATGTATTTTTTTTCAATCTTTTTTCATTTATGTAATAAAAAAAAATAGAAAACCCAGTGTCGATCAAATACCATGAAAAGAAAACTCTATTTTTGTGAAAAAAAAATATATAAATTTCAATTAGGTACAGTGTTGCTGACTGTGTAATTATCGGTTAATGCGGTGCAGTGCTGAACAGCAAATAAATGGTCTGGTCATGAAGGAGGTATAACCTTCCGAAGCTCAAATTTCTTGGCGCTGTGCATGTTATGTTGGGTTTTTTTTTTCAATGCCAATAAATATTATTATTATTATACAGGATTTATATAGCGCCAACAGTTTGCGCAGCGCTTTACAAAATGAAGGTAGACATTACAGTTACAATACAATTTGGTACAAGAGGAAACAGAGGGCCCGGCTCATTAGAGCTTACAATCTAGGAGGAGGGGTTGAGTGATACAAAAGGTAATAGCTGTGGGGGGGATGAACTGATGGAGAAAATAAATGGCAGTTTACTAGGTAGAAGCAGGATAGGCTTCTTTAAAAAGAAAGATTTTCAGGGATCGTCTAAAGGTGGATAGGTTAGGAGACAGCCGGACAGATTGGGGTAGGGAGTTCCATAGGATAAGAAAAGCTCGGGAGAAGTCCTGGAGGCGAGCATGGGAGGAGGTGACATGGGAACTAGAGAGCAGAAGGTCTTGGGAGGATTGCAGAGAGCGGTTTGGTTGATATTTTGGGACCAGGTTGGTGATGTAGCTGGGGGCCAAGTTGTGGATGGCTTTGTAAGGTGTTGCTAGTATTTTGAATTTTATTCGTTGAGTGAGTGGAAGCCGGTGGAGGGATTGGCAGAGAGGGGTGGAGGACACTGAGTGGAGGTCAGTGGAGGGATTGGCAGAGAGGGGTGGAGGACACTGACTGGAGGCCAGTGGAGGGATTGGCAGAGAGGGGTGGAGGACACTGAGTGGAGGCGAGTGGAAGGATTGGTATTGAGGGGTGGAGGACACTGAGTGGAAGGACTGGCAGAGAGGGATGGAGGACACTGAGTGGAGGCCAGTGGAGGGATTGGCAGAGAGGGGTGGAGGACACTGAGTGGAGGCACGTGGAGGGATTGGCAGAGAGGGGTGGAGGACACAGAGTGGAGGCCAGTGGAGGGATTGGCACGAGAGCGGTTTTGTTGAGAGGGGTGGAGGACACGAGTGGAGGCCAGTGGAGGGATTGGCAGAGAGGGGTGGAGGACACTGAGTGGAGGCCAGTGGAGGGATTGGCAGAGAGGGGTGGAGGACACTGACTGGAGGCCAGTGGAGGGATTGGCAGAGAGGGGTGGAGGACACTGAGTGGAGGCCAGTGGAAGGATTGGAATTGAGGGGTGGAGGACACTGAGTGGAGGGACTGGCAGAGGGGATGGAGGACACTGAGTGGAGGCCAGTGAGGGATTGGCAGAGAGGGGTGGAGGACACTGAGTGGAGGCCAGTGGAGGGATTGGCAGAGAGGGGTGGAGGACACTGAGTGGAGGCCAGTGGAGGGATTGGCAGAGAGGGGTGGAGGACACTGAGTGGAGGTCAGTGGAGGGATTGGCAGAGAGGGTGGAGGACACTGAGTGGAGGGCAGTGGAGGGATTGGCAGAGAGGGATGGAGGACACTGAGTGGAGGCGAGTGGAGGGATTGGCAGAGAGGGGTGGAGAACACTGAGTGGAGACCAGTGGAGGGATTGGCAGAGAGGGGTGGAGGACACTGACTGGAGGCCAGTGGAGGGATTGGCAGAGAGGGGTGGAGGACACTGAGTGGAGGCCAGTGGAAGGATTGGAATTGAGGGGTGGAGGACACTGAGTGGAGGGACTGGCAGAGAGGGATGGAGGACACTGAGTGGAGGCCAGTGGAGGGATTGGCAGAGAGGGGTGGAGGACACTGAGTGGAGGCCAGTGGAGGGATTGGCAGAGAGGGGTGGAGGACACTGAGTGGAGGCCAGTGGAGGGATTGGCAGAGAGGGGTGGAGGACACTGAGTGGAGGTCAGTGGAGGGATTGGCAGAGAGGTGGAGGACACTGAGTGGAGGGCAGTGGAGGGATTGGCAGAGAGGGGTGGAGGACACTGAGTGGAGGCGAGTGGAGGGATTGGCAGAGAGGGGTGGAGAACACTGAGTGGAGGCCAGTGGAGGGATTGGCAGAGAGGGGTGGAGGACACTGAGTGGAGGCCAGTGAAGGGATTGGCAGAGAGGGTGGACGACACTGAGTGGAGGCCAGTGGAGGGATTGGCAGAGAGAGGTGGAGGACACTGAGTGGAGGCCAGTGGAGGGATTGGCAGAGAGGGGTAGCAGACATTGAATGGTTGGTAAGGTGGATGAGCCTGGCAGCAGCATTCATTATGGACTGGAGGGGGGATAACATATATATATATCGTACTCTTGGATCACTTACTGCTACAATGACTGCATTTGTGTGTTTTTCCCCCAATTAGAAATGTCCTTTTGCTGTAATTTAGGTATATATTTATAGGATGTCCTTGTTCTATTACATATGAAGTATGTTTTAGCTGAAAAAAGGGAACATATAACTTGTACTCACATGACATTTTTTGTATCATATTTTGTTTGCTAGGCTTTGTAGGCATCTAATCCAAGGTCATGAAATCTTTTGTGTTGTGGATGAATGAACCTTGCTTTTTTTTCCCCCTCCTGAGTAGAATGAGCAAGATCATTGTTTCCACCATTGCCCGATCAATGACTTGCTGAGTCACAGACGTGGCAAGTTCAACTGTAGGCTGAACCTGCCAAGTTATACGATGAGAATTAATGTCCAAAGTGCAGCAGCCAACTCTAATTTAAGCTTCTGGGTTGAACTTGTTTTTAGTTGTGGGGGTGAAAGGGCATGGTGTACCCATTAATTAATCTAATCCATATCCATCCACTTTAGTACTTCTAGGGGTTCTCGGTTCCAAGAATTATATGAAGATTAAGTAATATTTAAGCCTCCAAAATCCGGCGCTGTCACTAAGCATATATAAAAGGGGAAAACTTAAGCCATTTATAGTTTTAAGATCTTTAAAACATTCCAAAAACTTTTTTTTTTTTTAAATTAATCTATTCAGTCAACTTTTCCAGAAAAAAAAGGAAAAATACTAAATCCTTCTACTTTAACAGAAGCACGGCTTACGCTATGGTGGCAATACAAGGTGATCTCCTGTGTCTATCAGGGGTCCTAAAGTGGATCTAGTAGCAAGCCTAAGCTTTGCCTGTAACATATGTCCCCTTATTATAAGAAACGAATGCAAGCAAAAAATAAAAAAAATAAAAAAACAAGATTAAGGAAAATATAACCAGATGTCAGGCTAAAAGTGCGATCAATTATTTTCTAAACCTTAAACATTTAAATGTGAAATATTTTTACTACATTTTTTCCCTCTTGAGTCTTGTTACATTAAATTGCTCTCGTGAAATGGATGCAAAGAAAACTGGGAGTTTCAACATATCATTTAATTCACATTTATCAAACACGATGTTTTTTCTCTAGTAGCTTGTAAACCATTATAAGAAAAATGAACTGTATTCCGAGGTGAGAGCAAAGTGTGAATTTCCTGTCACTATTGGACTATAGCTCCCTGTGATTGGGGAAACTTGCACTTTAATTATTGGGATTTTAGTGGTGATGGAAGATCGAACATAGCAATGTATACTGATCAGGGGCGGATTGATAGTAATTTATATGACTATCCTTTAAAATGTTTCTAAATCCAGAAGCAAAAAGGTAACATATTGCAAATTACCAGTCCTTGTGATGGTTGCATTAGTTTTCTTTTTTTTGTTTTTTTTTTTCCCTTTTACTTTAACCTGATGATCTGGCAAGTAAGTCTGTTGTTTCCAGCTATAACACATGCTTACCTGTTTGCTCGTAGTCTTCTATTGAATGTATACTGAACCAGGGGCGGACTGACAACTCATGGGGCCCCCGGGCAATAGGGGATCATGGGGCCCCTGTGTCCTTGCCCAAACTCAAAAAAGCCTATGAAAAATGTACCAGGGGCATCTCATGGGCCCCCCTACTGACCCCGGGCCCTCAGGCAGTGCCTGAGTTTCCAAATGGTCAGTCTGCCCCTGTACTGAACTGTGCATGTGAAGCTCAGCATCCATTCTTGGCACACTCTGGCTATGACTGACCCTTGTGCACGTGTGTGGGATGACATAATTCTCTCACTGGCCAATCCAGAAGCTGAAAACTGCCCCTGATACTGATGCATACTGTAGTTGTTGCTTCCAAGAACTAATGAAGGTTATTCACTAAAACTGCATGGTTCAAAATCTGGTGTAGGTCTGCACAGAAACCAGTCGGCTTCCAGGTTTTATTGTCAATAAATCAAATCAATCAATCAATAAATCAAAGTTTTTTTTCCTTCATGCATTTTATGCATGAAGATAAAAAACCTCTGTGTAGCAGCTCCCCCAGCCCCCCCCCAATACTCACCTAAGCCCCCTCTCGATCCAGTGATGTGCACTGGAGTCTCAGCTATCCCGGGACACCCTCTTCTCATTGGCTGAGACAGCAGCAGGAGCCATTTGCTCCCACTGCTGTCAATCACAGGTAGTGAGCCAATGAGAAGAGAGAGAGGGTGGGGCTGAACAGCAGCTCCGTGTGTGAATGGACACACAAAGCAGCGGGTGACCCCATATCAAGCTGCTTGCTGTGGGGGGCACCTGAACATAGCAATGTATACTGACCAGGGGTGGACTGACAACTCATGGGGCCCCGGGGCAATAGGGGATCATGGGGCCCCTGTGTCCTTGCCCAAACTCAAAAAAGCCTATGAAAAAGGTACCAGGGGCATCTCATGGGGCCCCCAACTGACCTCGGGCCCTCGGGCAGTGCCCGAGTTTTCAAATGGTCAGTCCGCCCCTGATATTGATGCATACTGTAGTTGTTGCTTCCATGATCTAATGAAGGTTATTCACTAAAACTGCATGGTGCAAAATCTGCTGTAGGTCTGCACAGAAACCAGTCGTCTTCCAGGTTTTATTGCCAATAAATCAAATCAATCAATCAATCAATAAATCAAAGTTTTTTACCTTCATGCATTTTATGCATGAAGATAAAAAACCTCTGTGTAGCACCTCCCCCAGCCCCCCCCCCCCAATACTCACCTAAGCCCCCTCTTGATCCAGTGATGTGCACTGGAGTCTCAGCTATCCCGGGACACCCTCTTCTCATTGGCTGAGACAGCAGCAGGAGCCACTTGCTCCCTCTGCTGTCAATCACAGGTAGTGAGCCAATGAGAAGAGAGAGAGGGTGGGGCTGAACAGCAGCTCCGTGTGTGAATGGACACACAAAGCAGTGGGTGACCCCATATCAAGCTGCTTGCTGTGGGGGGCACCTGACATGAGGGAGGGGACCAGATTGCCTGGGTGGACCCGAGAAGAGAAGGATCTGGGCTGCTCTTTGCAAAACCACTGCCCACAGCAGGTAAGCATGATGTGTCTGTTATTTGAAAAAAAAAAAAAAAAAAAAAGCCTTTAGTATCACTTTAATTGAACAAGCTGAAGTAGCTGATTGGCTGCTATACACAAGTGCACTCGATTCTGAGTGCTCCAGTTTTAGTAAATCTCCCCCAGTGTGTATTGAGGGCAGGGATGGATCTTGGGAGCGCTGGTCCCCCCCCCCCAGATTTTAGTCATGCCCCCCCAAGTGTGTATTCACTGATCCATAAGTCAGATGCAGACAGTTGATGTAAGGAGCAGGGGCAGACTGACCATTTGGAAACTCCGGCACTGTAGGGGGCCCCATGAGATGCCCCTGGTACCTTTTTCATAGGCTTTTTTGAGTTTGGGCAAGGACACAGGGGCCCCATGATCCCCTATTGCCCGGGGAGCCCCATGAGTTGTCAGTCCGCCCCTGGTAAGGAGGCACACTGATGGGGACAATCCATGTAAGGGGGCACTCTGATGGGGACACTAATGTAAGGGGGTGTTCTGATGGGGACACTAATGTAAAGGGGTGTTCTGATGAGGACACTAATGTAAGGGGGTGTTCTGATGAGGACACTAATGTAAGGGGTTGTTCTGATGAGGACACTAATGTAAGGGGTTGTTCTGATGAGGACACTGATGTAAGGGGGTGTTCTGATGAGGACACTAATGTAAGGGGGTGTTCTGATGAGGACACTAATGTAAGGGGGTGTTCTGATGAGGACACTAATGTAAGGGGTTGTTCTGATGAGACACTAATGTAAGGGGTTGTTCTGATGAGGACACTGATGTAAGGGGGTGTTCTGATGGGGACACTAATGTAGGGGGGTGTTCTGATGAGGACACTGATGTAAGGGGGTGTTCTGATGAGGACACTAATGTAAGGGGGTTGTTCTGATGAGGACACTATGTAAGGGGGTGTTCTGATGAGGGGACACTAATGTACGGGGGTGTTCTGATGGGGACACTGATGTAAGGGGGTGTTCTGATGATGGACACTAATGTAAGGGGGTGTTCTGATGAGGACACTAATGTACGGGGGTGTTTCTGATGAGGACACTAATGTAAGGGGTGTTCTGATGAGGACACTGATGTAAGGGGGTGTTCTGATGAGGACACTAATGTAACGGGGGTGTTCTGATGAGGGCACTGATGTAAGGGGGTGTTCTGATGAGGACACTGATGTAAGGGGGTGTTCTGATGAGGACACTAATGTAAGGGGGTGTTCTGATGAGGACACTAATGTAAGAGGGTGTTCTGATGAGGACACTGATGTAAGGGGATGTTCTGATGGGGACACTGATGTAAGGGGGTGTTCTTATAGGGACATTGATGTTGAGGGCACTCTGATTGGGACTTCTGATGTATGGGAGCACACTGTTTGAGACCCTGATATAAGGGGGTACTCTGAAGGGAATCTGAGATAAAGGAGTACTCTCATGAGGACTCCTTAATAAATGGGGACTCTGATAGGTACATCTGATATAAGGGGGTGCAGGCTCTGTTTAATGACCCTAATCCAATGACAGCCTAATACATACTAGTGTTTCCCAGCTTGTGACACTGTATGACAGACTGTCAGTAACTTGTAGTGTTGTCATTATGGCCAATGACTTTTTACTGCATCACCAGATCAGATAGGAGAGACTGCATCTGGTGCCCTACGCGGGTTTGCAAAATTTTTGTTTGTTTTATTGATTACAGACAAATGATAAAACATAATTAACCACATGCCGCCCAGCCACTGTATAATAAATACGGTGGCAGGGCGGCAAGGCTGGGCAAAAGCATGTTTTAAAACGTGTGTTTTGAAAACACAAAGCAATCAATATACACT